GGAAGGGGAAGAGACTGTGCGAGCATAATTTTTGTAGGAATGGGAAGAAATTATCGAAGGCGACGCAGTGAACGAAGAGCGACAAAGGTTTTCTTACCTCATTCAGTTGGCGTATCCAATTTAAGGAATTATCAATATAAATGCCAAGGTTTTTGACATTGTCAAAGTAAGTGATTACAACTCCATCGAATACTATAGATGGTACGGTGAACCACCAGTCAATTCTTGAGATAAAACTCTGGCTACCAATAATGATAGCCTGAGACTTTTTAGGATTCACATTTAGGCCATATGATTTACTCCAATCATGAATAATATTTAGATCGTTATTCAATGTAGCGATTGCATTCGGCAAATTCGCAAGAGTTAACTGTGTGTAAATCTGGACATCATCCGCATACATGTGGTAGAGAGAAGATATTTTATGAGTAATTGAATTAATGAAAATTGAAAAGAGTAAAGGTGACAACACTTCGCCTTGCGGTACGCCTGCAGTAATATCACACCAAGATGAGTGAGTTTCATGTAAACGAATACACTGCCGACGGCCACAGAGATAACTTTGAAACCAGTTAATTACTGATGGAGATATGTTAAGGGAACCCAACAGACTCAACAGTATATCATAGTCAACAGTATTGAACGCATTACTGAAATCCAGCAAGGTCATGACTGTGAGTAGTTTATTATCATCTGAGAGCCATGGAGCAGGCAAGTGTTTGAGTCTCACATAATACATTAGCGCGTGAACGTCGAAAAGTTGCGTGAGTAGGAAACAAAAAAGTTCCACTTTATCATCAATGCATGGAGCTTTCTCAATCACTGACTAGTCAATATTAAGAGCATCTTGACAAAGTTGGTCAATATCCATTCCTCCAAAATTACGTCGCAGAACTAATTTAGGTTTGATTTTAGGAGGGCGTAGTTTATACGAAAGAAAAATTAAATCGTGATAAGAGAATGCATCAGCAGGACACTGTCCATGCTTGAAAACTAAATTTGAAGATGACACCATTATTAAGTCAAGAGGGGAAGGAGTACTGTTAGGAAAGTTATGAGTAGCAGAAAGGGGTAGGATTTGCATATTACACGCTTCAGTTATAGACTTAAGTTTTATAGCCCGAATGTTGCCTTTAAGCAAACAGGTGTTAAAATCACCCATCAAAATAGTGTGACTATACGTAGGGACTAGTGATTCTAAGAGAGATTCGAAAGGAGTAAAATAGTTTACAGAAAGAGAGGGGCTGTAGAAAACTCCAAGTAGGATTTTATTCTGAGACAGGGAAACTTCAACCAGTAAAATGCTCAGCAGAATCAACAGGAGGTGGTTGACTTGACGAACTACCAATTTTAAATGGAAAGTAGGATATAAGATAGATCGCCACGCCCCCACTACCCCTATTAGTGCGATCATTTCTAATTAGATGAAACCCTGGCAAAGAACAAGAAGTGGAAGGGAGACAGGGTTTTGGCCAAGATACTGAAACTAAAATGGTGTGAATATTTTGGGATTCAAATGACGCAAGCATGTCAGGATAATGAGCCGGAATGCTTTGGGCGTTAATATGAATAGCATTGAAATTATTCGCACAGTCTGAGAAACAAGAATTTAAGGTGATGTTGAGTGAAGGAGAAGCAGTTGTATTGTGATAACTAGCATTAACTAAGTGTCTCATCATCTGAAGACAACGACAGAAATAAATCACTATCATTTCAAATGTTTGAGGATGTCATAAATGCTATACTAAAATATACAAATAAATTCTTACATACACGAAAAAAATATTAATATATATATATATATATATATAAATGCAAAATCAAACAGTACCTACACTATTACAACCACCAGCAGAATGAAAGAGAAAGCATATAACAAAACAACAACTTAAAGAAATAAAACAATCAGTTTAGTATTAAAATTACCAAAAACTTGCAGTCAAAAAAATTGTAAGACATTTTGAATCTATAAACGTCAGACTAGGCAGAATGGGTTAACATACCTTTGCCAAACTAATAAAAAAATCTAAGAATGTCACTGTGGTTATACACAGTAATCTATGGTTACAGGCTTACAGGTAGCAACTGTCATTATAAAGTTATTTATACACAAATAATAAATACTATAACAAAGAATGAACAGCTTTACACGTGGTAGAGCCATGCTGCATGTATATTAGTAGTATAGTTGTAGCACGAATGGGTCGGCTGGAACGGGGAAGGACCACGCTCTCACAGAATACCAGCGTCAAATAGCAGCTTCATGCTGCTGTGTTTCGTATGGTGAGTGTAGAGAACCGGAGACCCATTTTACTGGAAAAGAGGCATTCTATCTTAGTCCTCACGAGTGACAACGCATCTGCATTTTGATTCGCAAACGAGGATAAATGTAGATGTCTACGGGCCACAGCAACCACTTACCATCAGGTGGACTGTGTGCTTGTTTGCCACCCCATCCTATAAAAAAATGAACAATTAATCTACCTGTAATGGGCAATAATTAAAATAATTAGAGTAACAGTCATCAAACCAGTGCAAACCTATTATGAAATTTTTGTCTTAGAAGTGAAAGGCAAAGAGTTGTTATTAAACTGATTAACTAATAGTTACAAAAAATACATGAATTGAGCTGCTGGACTAAATGAATGAAAGCGAAACCACAAGAAAACACGCCACTACCATCATTTTGTCGTCATCTTCTTAGCCCTAGCAGTAGTAACACAGGGCTTAGAAGCCGAAGATGCCGTCGCCGCCGTCGCCGTAATCAAGGATGAGGTGGTGGGGTCACCACCAGCTGCATCAGAAATGGCGAGCACCTCAGCCACGGTGTACACCCGGTGCTTCGTGCCATCAGACCCAAGCACCACAACATATCCATCTCTTGACCAACTCTGGGATACACCCAACCGCTTCCGAGCAGCAACGAACGCCTCATGACGGCCCTTAGTCATGAACTCAGATAGAGTAACTCCGCTACCCTTTAGTTTGGTTTTGGAAAACCAAACTTTGTCACGGAGATCCTGATCTCGAAATTTCACAAGCAGCGCTCGAGGTTTGTTGCCACGGGGGCGCCCTAAGCGATGGCATCTGGTGATAGAGCCCACACTTATTTCAGGGATGTTCAGCGGCTCCGATAATAACTTACTCGTGCAAAATACTGGGTTCTCATCTCGGGCTTCTGTATAATATTGTTATAATAAGACTTCAAAAATATAGCCTTCAAAACTTTAGATAAAAATAGAGACAAATTTTTATACATTATAAAACTGTAGCACATTAAAAATAAAAAATCTTGAGATTATCCTCTTTAAGTCATTATGAACCCAACTAAGTATGCATTTGTCAACTAAAATAAATGTATAACCTTACTTAACCAACCACACAGCCTCGCGGTCACACTAGTACAATATTTCATATATTGTACTAGTGTGACCGCGAGGTCGCTAGATAGCATCGCGAGATAGCATCACGCTATTTTCCCCAAGGGGTTGAGCGGAGGTTCGGATTATATTCCCAAGTCACAATGATAAAACTTTTAGCGTAGTTAGGTATAGATATTTACCCACGCATGAGACACGATAGTATAAATTCCACAATATTTGATACTCACGACGTTCGATGCTCGATTCATGCCGAGGGCTTAAGTAGCGTGGTTCATCGCCTAGAGCGTAAGTCGTAGAGAAGAGGAACTCCTGGTTAAGTAATAGCTGCGCGGATCAATAGATCTGCGAGATTAAATTGCATTTGCTGCGGTCAGTCCATGAACGAGTTACCATTTTATTAACATACTGAGATTGAGAGAATAGCGAGTGCATCTGTATCCTTTGACAATTGGTACACTTTACTCTGTTAAGATCATTATGTTTTTAAAGTTCATGCGGCTAAAATGATTACAGGTTTATTACTACTTTATACTTTTCAGGGAGAGATGAAAGATTATAAGCATGAAGCATGATAAAGCCTCATAAACATACTGGCCTTTAAACAGAGCAATCTTATTTACTTAAATTATTAAGTTTAAATTCATATTTAAGTAGAATTAAATTACGGCAAAAACCTGTGTGTGTGATGTATTCACGGATTCCGATTCGGGATTCCGAAACGGAATCACGAAACGGAATTCCGTATGTATGTGGCTGGCCTAATACAATATTTTTACTAACGATAAAGACATACGGAATTTATACGAATTTTTAGGTCGGCCACATACATACGGAATTCCGTTTCGAAATCCCGAATCGGGATTTCGTGAATACATCACACACATACGTTTTTTTCCGTTCGGAATAACTAGGGTCAGTAGAGAGACGTTTGCCACTGAGTCTAAACATTCTGCCAGCGAAAACTGATGACGATTTTCTAATTGCGATTCTATTGTTGCTGTATTATTCTTACTTGGTGCATCACCTTATCACCCTAAGCATAAAATATAGTCAATCTTATGTAAAAAGATCTATCTATCCAGATATATTTTTTAAATAAGGATATATATAAATTCTTTCGACCTATTATTAAATAAAATAAGATGAATGATTACGAAAAGCTATACACCTATAAGACTAAATGTAAAAACATACATAAACACACCTACTCGCTTCGGTCGTGCGACGAACCGCTCAGTGTTCCGTACGGAATTTACGTATTTGTGTTGCGACTCGTACAAAATCTATGGAAGACTTGCGTTCGGAGCGGCTTTTTTCCGTTCGGAGAAATTCCGTACTGAAAAATACCGTACGTATGTGGCGGGTCATAGATTTTATATGGACTTGCTGCGTTCGGAATTCCGAATCGGAATATCGAAACGGAATTCCGAAACGAAATTCCGTATATATGTAGGCGGCCTTAAGAACCCAGTACAGATTTTACTTCGTATAAGGTTGGCAGCACTGCCTACGAGCTACGACCAATCTACGAGTCTACGACTTTGAGCCTTATTACGTAATGGATGGGAGATTGTCAGTGTCATTAGATCAATTTATTCTCCCCTAAAAAGTTATACAATGGCCATCTCAGGTAGAATTCTTCCTTGGTTAAAAGGTGAGAAAAGAGTTGTCTCTTAGTTTTGCTTTCTATTATTTATCGTCATTTGTTTCCTATATAACTTTCTTAACATTCTTGAAAAAACATTAGTGAATTTTTTGAGCCATGATAACCTTACCGATATAATATATTTGCTATTATACTTTATTCCAGTAAGTAATTAAACGTTAGTCAAATAATTTTATCATGTAAAATAATTTGTACTACCTTAGCTTTGTGCAATGTCATATTCATTAGCGTGTAGTTTCACCTAGACCTTCAGCTATAAATACATCGATTGATTTTTTTTGATTATGCTAGTTTCGAATTTATTAAAGATTTTGATTGATGAGGCTGACTAACGATACTTGACAATACCTTGCAATCCATTAATTTTATAATAGTAACAGATCTTTGCTCTTCAAAATTAAAAACAATATTTAAATTTCACATTTGTTTTCTGTTATTGTTATTTATTGTATATTATATGGCCACCAAAGTCATGTTTTTATTTTTTACATTCTGCATCTATTCCCCATATTAATAAGATACTTAAGAACCTATTCGAAAATGCTATGATCTTCCTAATACAATAGTTTTTCAATAAATCTTTATCAGTCATAATATAATTAATTTTAAACAATGATATTTATTTATTTAAACTTTTATGCACTTTAAAAATTTATATTATGGCTAGCTAATTTCAAAATTGCCTTACGACATTCTGTCCCAGTCAATCATTAGGCTAAGCAGAGGATGGCCAGAGCCAGAAATTAAATCTTGAAGAAGCTCAGCAATCATTTATTGCAGGCAAGACTTGCCTAGATAACTCATTCAGATGTGTTGCCGTCAGAAACACATCCATACATTTAACTGGAATATCTCTACTTTGGGTACCTAACAGTCATAATATATGAATGTTGAAATCTTCTGAAAAAGGCCCAGATCCTGTTGGGGTATTAGTTTTAGATCCATCTGTAAAGATATTAAGTTTTCTGGGGCTTAGACTTTCCAGATGGCTTGTTTCACCTAATTGTATTTTGCACATCTTATCAAACAAATTGTTTAGGGATTCTGTTATACTTGGCTCGTACAATAGGAATTTCATTGTATATTTTATCAATTGTGCCAGTACAAGGTATCCTACTGTTGCTCATTTTAATATTTAGAGTTTTTAATCTCAATGTTAGCTATATTACTTCTTGTTGAACTACCCATGTGGGGATGAAGAAGAGTTAGTTCTAACATGGCCTCTAGGCTCTAGAGCTGTTGTTGGATTAGTTCTCATAGCTGCCTGTTACACACATACAGGCATATTTCATGTATTGTCGTAATATGACTTTGTGGCTTTTACCATTCCGTACAACTATAGTGTGATTTGTGATTTTAGGCGATAGACCCCAAGACTTGCCAATCATGCTTCTGCATTGCTAATAAGTAAAATTGTTGACCTCTTTCTACATGGTTTAATAACATTCTCTAGACTAGGTTTTGATCATGGCAGCCAGTGTCAACTGAGAGTTGCCACCTGTGTGTTTATAAACACAGGTGCTTTCTATGCACTTCCCTCACTCTCATTGTCTGAGGAGATGGCTTTCCGACCCAACTAGAGAGATATCGGGAGAGTTGACCTACAATTGTGGTATAAGACACTTATATCACAACATTTGATATAAATTTGAAAAGATAAACTTATTTATTGTAATCATATAATGTTGATTTTTTGTCATATCAGATGGCCTGAAGCTCACTAATGTGAGATATTCATCATGTGGGAGTGTAGGCAAGCCATATGAACAAACAAGAAAAAATCTGATTTTAACTAGTGAGACCAAAGTCATAGTCCAAGGATTTACTGGCAAGCAAGGAACTTTCCACAGTCAGCAAGCATTAGACTATGGAACGAAAATTGTTGGAGGTGTGTCTCCAAAGAAAGCAGGCACAGAACATCTTGGAAAACCTGTTTTTGCTACTGTAAGGGAAGCTAAGGAGAAAACAGGTGCTGAAGCATCTGTTATTTATGTTCCACCTCCAGGAGCAGCTGGTGCTATTCTTGAAGCCATTGAAGCCGAAATTCCACTCATAGTCTGCATTACTGAAGGAGTACCTCAACATGTAAACAACTTTTATTATAATAAAATAATATTGAACTGTATATGTGTATGTATATGTATTTAATCATCACATCAGTGACAAGTGAATTATTAATTTTCAGGATATGGTTCGTGTGAAGCATGCTCTATTGCACCAGAACAAATCTCGTTTGGTTGGTCCCAACTGCCCTGGAATCATAGCACCTGAAAAGTGCAAAATTGGCATCATGCCTGCTGCCGTGCACAAAGCGGGCTGCATTGGTGTTGTTTCACGCTCTGGCACACTAACATATGAAGCCTGTCACCAAACTACTATTGTAAGTTCTGAAATTCGATAGTCTTGTTAATTACTGTTAGCTTAATTATCATGCTCATTTTATTAAAAAAAGCCATAAGAAAATTTTATCTACCTACAAGAACATGAGCTAAGTTAGTTCAAGAGCTAATTATTAAGCTAAAATTTATACATTACTTCAAAATATTTCTAGGACATGCCTACATATTGTGAAATCCGCCAAAACACTGGATAAATTGCTCCAAAACATTCACCAAAGTGTAAGGAGGCTTGAAGTCCACTTGTGGGACAAATTTTTACAGAAAAATATTATCCTCACTTTACTTAATTATTTTACTTATTGTATTCCTACATTATTTCATGACATTAATTTATGTTAACAAGTTTGTAAGAAATTTTACAGCTATATTAACTTTAACACATTTAATTTTATTTGATTATTTTTAATAATTTATTCTTTGAAGCTACATGTATTGCAGGGTGTAGTGCAACTTGTATTGATAATATTTTTACAGGTGTTGTACCAATCAACAAATCAATAATTCAAAAACTTAGTTCAGATCACTGTGGACAACTGGTTTCATTACCTTATATGCACAAAAAACAGGAAATTGAGAAAATTGTGTTTGTTCCTATTAATGCAAAATGCCTGGAGAGATTTAGAAGTAATATAGTAAAAAACCTTCCATCGCTTTCTTATAAGAACAATGCAGACCATTTATATGGAGAATTATTTACCCTTATTATACATTATACATTCTCCAGAAACAGTCGCAAGGCATTTAATGAGTGGGCGACAGTAGGAATTCATAAAAGCAGACGAAGGTTATATGACCTTTACCATGAAAGAACATATAATCCTTCCGATGATTTTAAAGAATATGTCAAAAATTATTCTAAAATGTTTAAAAGAGTTTGCTCCACAGCCAAATCGTTACATATTAGCAACAAAATTAAGACGGCTAAGAATAAAATTAAAATGACGTGGAGTATAATTAACAGTGAAACTGGTAAAGACAAACCTCGTAACTCAAACTATCAATTAAAAATTAACAATGAATTGACTAAATCAAATCAAGAAATCACAGCGGTGTATTGAGAAATATACTACTGATATTCCTATCTTGACAACAGAGTCATTGCATACTTCTCCAACTGTCGCAGAGTCATTACTCAAACAGAATGTCAATACCTATTTAAGAGAATTTAGATTTGAAAAAGTATTACCGCAACGATATTGTTAAATATTTCAAAACCATTGAAGTAAAGAATACCACAGATTTGTGGGGGATTTCCGTTACAGTTATTGTGTCCATAATAGATTTAATTGCACCTCATCTTGGTATTATTTTTAATACTTGTATCGATTCTGGTGTGTTTCCTGATTTAATGAAGTATAGTAAAGTAATACCTTTATTTAAATCTGGTAGTACATTGGACCCCGCTAACTTTTGACCTATTTCTGTACTACCAACTCTTAGTAAAATTTTTGAAAAAATAATTTTGGATCAATTGTTAATTTTTTTTAATACAAATAAATTACTTCATAAAAACCAATTTCGTTTTACAAGGGGTCGCTCGACGTCTAACGCCGGTGTTGAGCTTATGAAATATATTTTTAATGTCTGGGAAAATTTACAAGATGCCTTAGGTATTTTCTGTGATCTTTCCAAGGCTTTCGATTGTGTTCATCATGAGACATTAATCAGGAAACTACAAAATTACGGTGTAAAAAATTTGGCGCTTAGACTTATTACTTCATATTTAAGTAACAGAACTCAAAAAGTCGTGATCAATGGTAAAGCTTCCTCCGGATCGGTAGTATCAATGGGCATTCCTCAGGGCTTGATTCTTGGCCCATTCCTGTTTTTAATCTATATTAATGACTTACCTTATCTTGTAGGGGGCATACACGATATAGTATTATTTGCTGATGATACCTCTTTAATTTTCAAACTCAAACGGCAGTTAATTAATTATGACGATGTAAATAATGCTCTATCGAAATTAGTACATTGGTTTAATGCCAACAATATGCTCTTAAACGGCAATAAGATAAAGTGTATTAAATTTACAATACCTAATGTAAAACATTCTAATACCAATGTGCTGTTAAATGGGGAGGAGTTGAGTCTTGTAGATACCACTGTTTTTCATTTTTATTACTATTGACGTGAAACTTCAATGGGGCCCCCGTATATTTAAATTAGCAAGCAGACTTAATTCTGCAGCATATGCTGTAAGAAAGATTAGAAGTCTCACAGATATTGAGACAGCTAGATTAGTGTATTTTAGATACTTTCATAGCGTAATGTCTTATGGAATTTTGCTATGGGGTAATGCGACTGATATTGAAGCTATATTTGTTTTGCAAAAGAGAGCCGTTCAGGCGATTTATAACCTAAATTGTAAAGAGTCCCTCAGACAAAAATTTTAAGAAATAAAGATATTAACTTTGGCATCGCTATATATTTATGAAAATGTAATGTATGTACATAAAACATAAATAGCTTTAATAAGAATAAGGATGTGCATACTTTAAACAATAGGAACAAACATAAGCTTGTAATACCAGTTACTAGACTCCACAGAATCAGTAATTCATTTATGGGTCAATGTATACGCTTTTACAACAAAATCCCAGAACATATTCAAAGTTTGTCAATAAACAAGTTTAAAAGTTTTATTTAAAAAAAATTGTACAAAATGGGTTATTATAATATCAAGGAATACATGAATGAAAATAATCCCTGGGAATAAGGTGATCGCCACCATGCTGGTTCCATGAAAAAAAATCTATGGTATAAACGAAATTATTGTTAAGTGAAATATGTTTGAAAAAAAAAGTCCCGCTGGGTTTCTTGCTGGTTCTTCCCAGGACAGAGGTATTTTCCGAACCAGTGGTAAATAAAAAATGACTTTCAATAAGAATTATGTAATAATCAATATTGAATAAAAAATTATTCTATTCTATTTATGTCATGGTTACGGGGGACGGGAGGATGGGTCACCATTAATTTTGTAAAGCATGTGAAACATCAGAAATAAAAAAATTTAATTGAACATGACAAATCTGCTAAATTAAGGTACCAATGGGAGACGACAGTGTATGTGATACATGACACATGTCAGTTGTACTTAACTAGTAATGGGCAATAAGTACGGCGTTATATAACACTTATTATTCTTTACCTGCCTCGTTCACGGGTTCGAATCTCTGGTCGCACCAAATCAGCTATTGGGCTTTTATGACAAGAAATTCTCAGTAGCAGTGTGGAGTCAGGATGTTGGCGGTGTTTTACCTGAGTGCCTCTGTAAAATACGTACAGTCGTTGGGTCCTGCATCTGATAATATCGGATAACCATCCCATCAGATTATGAGCGTGATGGAATAGACAGTGCACATGTACCTGCGCATACACTCCCATTGCACTATGCCACAGCGATTCCAAAATCTTTTTCGAATGATGGAAGGGACGTTGGACACGTCATTTGGCAAACATTGACTGGCAAGTTTAGCTGCCAATGTGAAGATCAAAATTAATTACACATGCAGAAAAAACTGGGAAAAGCGAGTTTCCTCTGTTTCTAAATCTTTCACGAGGATCAATCATCTCAAGTGTGAGACATCTCAGACGTGTGCATCCATGATCTAATTTAGTACTTCTCCCTTAACTTTAGAACTTATTCAAACAACACTAAGCAAGCCACACTTTATTTCATTGCTTGTTCATGTTTCTAGTACAACTTGGTTGTGGATGTTATAAGGAGTAACTTAGGCTACTTTTATTTAAAAAAAAAGAATTAGGTTTCTGCGCAAAAAAAAAACCATAAAATGCAATTGTGATTGATTACAATTGCATTTCATGAGTTTTAATTATTTCCACGTGGGCTAAGTCGCAGGGAACAGCTAGTTCACTATAAAAATGGACCGGTTTAGCCTCACTCCATCATCATTCCATCTAAGTCCTTTTTTTATTTAGCTCAATAGCAAAGATATTCTATCAAATACATAATATTGATACATCCAAATTAATAATTCGGTATCAAATAATTTTTGCTTATTATCAGACCCTGCAATGATAGGTTTCACAACTTTTTCTGCCAGTGGCGCTACTTGTGAATGAGGTGAAATATGGAGGGGACATTCAACTGTTAGGAAAATATTAAGGTTAATGTTTCTTACTGAAATGTTAGTTATATTTTGTAAAGAATAAACCAAGCTACGGTTATCCCTAAAAGTTTTTACTTTTAACTATGTCTGTAGTTTGGTTTGATTGAAATTTGCAAAAAATTAAAGAGCAACCACTGAGGCATTATTCCTTGTGTATCTTTGATTATAAAGATACATAGGTATCTATCTCTTTTCATTTCGTCGTCCATATGTCAAAACATAATATATTATAAAGTTATGAAATGTGAAGCATGGCAGACTTTATGTTGTTTCAATTAGTCCTAGATCTTAAAATATTATTAGGCAGACTCCTTTTCTGCTTAGTTATTTGTCTGGGTCCTCATAGCTTGTTCTGTCGCTAGGCAGTAGTGTGTGCATGGTTATGTTCCAATCTGAATAGAGCCAGTATAATCAGAGGCTGTGAGATATTCCATCTTAGTCTCAAAGGAGACCATCTGTGGCCTCCTATGTTTGAAGTTGACCTATAGTCTGCAGTAGCCACATGCCATCAGGTGGTCTGTGATCTCATTTAAGACTAATTTTATAAAAAAAAAGTTAAATGACGGCTATATATGTAGCAGCCTATGCCAGTAATGCAACACAGACAAAAAAGGTGATGCCTCCTACAAAGGTCTTCGGGTAACTTAGGAAAAATAATGCAACTTTTATTTTTAGGTCTAATATTTATTGATATGGATTGCTTTTTGTATTATTGACATTGAAATTATATTTTTTTACATTTTAGGCTGGTCTTGGCCAAACCCTTTGTGTGGGTATTGGTGGTGATCCTTTTAATGGAACAGACTTCATTGATTGCTTGGAAGTATTCCTTGGTGATCCTCAAACAAAAGGTATCATTTTGATTGGAGAAATCGGAGGTAATGCAGAGGAGTTGGCATCAGAATATCTCACGCAACATAACACTGTGAGTTTGCTCAAGTTTTTCTTGATAATTATGTGCATTTTATATTATATTTTCATTAATAGCTTCTTTTTTTCCTAACAGAACAAGGTAAAGGATCAGGACAACCTTAAGAGGTTTTACTTAAGACTAATTTATGTTATCATGTTTTCTCATATGTTTATGTTATGACCTATTTCAGTGTGGTATTTTGAATCTTTGTGTTTTTCATTCATTTATAAATATATTATTTGAATTGATTTTAGTTTTTCATCAATGTATTTTGAATATCATTTTTACAAAACATTTTAGTTGAGTTTTACAGTTATTTATTATTAGTACGTTGATAGATATAACACCCTTAATTGCTTGGAAGATGAATTCATGCAATACATTTCTAGGCTTTTATTCATTTTTTTAATTTATTTATTTCAGGGACAAAAAGCAAAACCAGTTGTCTCATTCATTGCGGGTCTCACTGCTCCACCTGGAAGACGTATGGGGCACGCAGGTGCTATTATCTCTGGAGGCAAAGGTGGTGCCATGGACAAAATAAAGGCTCTTGAAAAAGCAAATGTAATTGTAACCCGATCACCAGCCAAGATGGGAAGTGAACTACTAAAAGAAATGAAACGATTAGAGATTGTTTAAACTGTATATTATTCTGAATATAACATTTTATCCATCTGTTCATTCTGTATAGATTATTTAGTAATTATAATGAAATTATTTATTTTGTTGTTTCAGTTGTATTTCTGACAATGTATCTTTCTATTACAAAAGGAATGTTGGGCTAGTAATTATTTAATTTAACCATTCAATATGCCTTGGGAATTTAAAAATTAACAACTGCTTATTTCACTTAAGTGTAATATGAGAAACAGAAAATCTTTACTATATAACTTGCACTAAATTGTTAAAAAAGCACTACATACTTCATAAAATTTTCTGATGTTATTTAAATATCATAAGGTATGTAACACAATTGTGTATCTGATTTGCTGCTATGCTTGTCATATGTATGGGTGAAATATATTCACTGGTTGCTTGGCAAAATGAAAATTAAGTCACAGACTTAAATTTAAAATTGATAAAAATATATGCAATAAAAGTCAGTATAAATCTTTAGTTTTTATTTTTACAACTTATATCACTATAATACGTGTGTCATTACATGCAAACAAAATGAATGAAAAATTAACAGAAAGAAAATCATAGATTACTATTCATTTGCAACTCAAGATATAACTTATCATGTTTATCCTAAAACCCCATTACTTCAGTGCTGAACACAAGGAATGCTTCAAAGCGCAGGTCTAAGCAAAATATAGCCATCAACTTCTTGCATGTCTTTGTGATTCAGTAACAATAATTGTAATACATGAGAAGAGCTGATGGGTCTGTTTATTAGACACTGAAAATATATTTCTAGAAAACTGTCTTTATATTTTCTGCTCTTTTTCACTCCGATGTGCCTGTGTTCTTTTAAAAAATTCTGTTTCAAATCATAATTGTAAGTTCCCTGTTTTATCTAGCAATTTTTTGCACATGGTGATAGCCACAAAAATATTTATAAAAAAAAAAGTAACAGCATTAACTAGTAAAATTAAAAAGACAAATTTTATCATAATTTTTATCAGTCATATGACTCAATGTGAGCCTAATAAACAAATATGCAATTATCATGTTCAACTGATGCTTGCATTGAAATCAGAAGCATTTAACAAAATAAATACCTTATAGACTAAACTTGCTTGGTATAACCTGTCGGAAATATCTGCGAACCTGGCTTGATGACGTCATGCAATATGGAGAGATGGCAACAGTACTGGATAGACGATAACGGGCGGAAATATCTGCGAACCTGGCTTGATGACGTCATGCAATATGGAGAGATGGCAACGGTACTGGATAGACGATAACGGGCGGAGGTGCAGGGAAGCGCGAGGGGAAGCACATTCCAGCGAGGTTCGCAGATATTTCCGACAGGTTATAGGTACATTTAGATTCAGGTGAGAACAAAATAACATTTTATACATAAATATATATATATATATATATATACAGTATAACATGTTAGTGCTGCTATTGCTTTAGGAATGGTGTATGCTGAAAGTATAAGATAAATTAGCCATCATTTCTAATCTCATTTCTTATCCATATGAGTTGTTATTAGAAATTGAGTTATCTCAGTACATGTAACACAAAAAGAAATAAAAATTAATATCTTCTGCCTCTACTACCTCTTCCTCCACCTCTATCTCTGTCTCCTCTTCGTAATTTCATAGCTTCAAACCTTTTTGCCATGCCCTCTAATTCACAGGGCACTTCTTGATTAGCTTCTTCAAGAATTTTAATAAGATCACTAGCATGTGCCCAATCATTTTTAGTAATGAATGATAAAGCTATTCCTGTTTTTCCTGCTCTCCCTGTCCTACCTACTCTATGAACATATTCCTCAATATGACGTGGAAAATCAAAGTTTACAACATGAGTTAAATCTTGTATGTCTATACCTCTTGAAGCAACATCAGTTGCTACTAAAATATTGACTGTACCATCAACCATTTCATTTAAAGCTGCTTCTCGGTCACTCTGTTCTCTATCTCCATGCAGGGACTGACATTCTATTCCCTTTAAACACAACTCAGTAGTGATATGTGTTGCTGTAGCTTTTTTGCCACAAAATATAAGTACTTTGTCATTATCATTCATATTGAATAGAAAAGACAAAAGGTGACTTTCTTTTTCTTCTTCCTCTACAAACATTAATTTTTGTGTGACTGTATGTACAGCAGCAAGATCTAATGACCCCACATTGACTTGAATGGGATCCTTCATGTATGATTCAGCTAGGCGTCGTACACCTGGTGGCCATGTAGCTGAAGTCATCACTGTTTGGCGATCTGGTCGTACATCAAATAATGATTTACGTATTTGAGGTTCAAATCCCATATCCAACATTCTATCTGCTTCATCCAAAACTATATAAGAAAAGTTTATTATATTTAAATGTCTAGCTAAAACTAAATCATTTAATCTACCAGGAGTAGCTATGACAATATCAACACCTTTAGATACTACCTTTATCTGTTCTTTACGATCACCTCCGCCATAAATACAAACAGATTTAATATCCTTATATTGGTACTTAGATACTTCTTTATGTATTTGAATAGCAAGTTCACGTGTAGGTGCTAAAATAAGTACAGACGGCCCTTCTCTCTCCTCTCTTGGGATGGTTTGTCCCTCAATATGGATCAAAGCAGGCAATAAGAAAACTAGAGTTTTCCCCGTACCTGTTTGAGCAATACCTATTAAATCATCTCCTCTTAAGAGAATTGGCCATGCTTGACTTTGTATTGGTGATGGTTGCTTAAATCCTTGTTTATATATTTCAGTTAAAATTTCCGGATAGTTTTTAAATGCTTGCTCAAATGTTAACACAGGGTTGGGGATTGGTCTTAAATCTGGCCTATCTTTAAAAGTTCTTTTCACTTGCACATCATGGTTTGTGCGTCTCCAGTCAGATACTTCGGCATGTGACATATTACGTACTTTAGGGTCTTCTTCATAAAAATCTTTTACAATTGGAGGTAAATTATTCCATCTTTCTTTTTGTACTTTGTCATGATAAGCATTCAGTTTATCCCAATCAACTACTTGCACTCCCTCATTGTTAACTTTAAAAAATTGCCCAGACTCAGTGCCACTATCTGCACTGCCATAATTGTTTTCTTTTTTAGTGTATGGATTGTGATCTTTTATAAGGTTTTCTATCATTTCCTCAGCGTTGGTGATTGCCTGATCTGAGCCACTTAGAGTAATATCTGTTTCGATGCCACTTGAATCCCCAACTTTAATGTGTGCTTGAGATTCAAGTGTAAGTTCGCGAATTTTCGATCCTCCCTTTCCAATAATGCGCCCAACTTTGTTAGAAGGAACTGATAGTACTTTTTTATTATTGTTATCTTGAGGAGCATTACGATTATTGCCGTAGTCTCTCCGTCTCCAATTCGTTTCATCGCGCGGATAACTACTGGGCGCCTCGTATGACCTACGATGGAAAGATTGCGAATTAGAACTTGGAGTCCTATTTACCGGAACCACCGGTATCGAGTCGTCTTCTTGCCATTCGTCTTCAAGGTTCGCCATTTTTTCTGATCACGTTGCGGTATACAAAATCTCAGCAAATGTAAAATAACAGAAAATTAGTGTTCTCTCTTGCAAAGTAAAAAATGAACACTATTATGACTCCTGCAAATTACTATTATTATTAATATTAGATCCTCTAACGAATCTAAAAAGATATCAATTAAACGTAATACCGCCGCGTCGGTGCCGGTAACATATAACTTTTATCAAAATAAAAAAAAAATTGAAATTGAATTTGTGATTGTGTCTGGTACTCTATAACCACAGACTAACTAGTAGATTTTCCTTATATATTACTATACTCTTTGAGTAGATTCTACACGAATCAGACGGACATCTCACGAACTAAACTTACTCGACTTGGCTTCTGCGTCCTGATTGGTTGTAGCAAAATGATATGTGACATTTAATTTTTTTTAAATTGATGCAGCTATATCAGGCAAAGGACGTCCCGAATAAGCTTATTTATTTATTACTTGTAAAATTTATTTTAAAATATTGAAAATAAAATAAGGTAAATAAAAATGAAACAATGATGAAATTTAATATTTTTTATTAGTTATTAATTTTTAATTTACAATAATTTTGTTTACAAAGTTAATAATTTATTAATATATACAATATTAAAAAATATATTTGAAAAAAAAAAAACAAATTAATTACTTAATTATCATACAGATAATTTTGTTCACAAATTTATTAATTTATTAATATAAACAATATTAAAAAATTATAATCTAAACAGATCTCTACAGCACTTAAGTTTTTATATTACATAGCTTCATATTGACTTGGAATGTGCTGTGCCCCACATCCTTACCTGAAACACAATCATTTACAGCCTTAATAAAATCATTTTGCTCCATTTGTTCATAATCAAAATTTGTTCCATATTGGTAAAAATTGTATGTAACTACATAAAAATTAAAAATTTTATGTAGTTATTAAGCTTTGGCAGCTGACAACGGCTGGTCAAAACTATTTTCCTGTAGAAATGAGTATGTATTGTCTGAAATCAAAAAATTATACCATCAAAAACATAACTTGTAAAAAAAACCAAGTCTCGCAACTCAGTTCTTCTATCGTAAAAAGTTGAGAGATCCATGTAATACCAAGTCGGTTAATTTATTCCAAAGACATTCAAGTAGTAGTAGTAATAGACCGGACATCAGCAGCAAAATTGTCGTCCGTAACTTATGCCCTATATAGGATATATCTCCGTTAGTCTTAGTGACATCGTCATAAAATCAAGACGCATTCTTTTCATATCTTTAAAAAATATTTTTATAGAAAATATGCCCGGTTGTGCATTAAGATATTGTAAGTCACGATATGGAGCAAAAAATGAATGATTTTGGTTTTTTATCGTAATTATAACGTATATTTACCGAATAATCTTTAAATTTTATTATTTCTAGTAGATTGTTCTAGAAAATTTATTTTTATTGTACTAAGCGCCCTCTGTTATCCTGTAGCGTCACTATTTATTTGAACTTAGTAATTGACGATCGAATCGACGACGTTTATCGATTGGGGTTATCGATAAAAATAATATACAGGATGCCGATTTAATCATTTACAATATTTAAGGAGGTAAAACAGTCAAAGATACTGTACCCATACCAACAAAAAAGAGTAGCATACTCGTATACCAACTATGCTAAGTAGCCTACTTTATGTGGAAGGGTGGGAAAATTTTTTAAGGCATGACGATGAGATTTTCTGTGTTGCTTATGAATGTTGCTGAGGATACTTGCTGTGTTGATGTTTAGCAAGACAGCAAGTCTTCTCTTTTACATACCGGGCTTCATTGTCTGGTGGTATTCAAGGACAAAACCACTATAGATCCTGGCTTACAGTGATAGGGGAGTGCTATAGGCTTGTGATATTAAAAAAAATTGTACTGATAATATTATTAGATTCAAGAAGTTGTAGGTTAAGCCTGAGTTAGAAAATAAGGTAAAAGCTTAAAATAACAATTATTATTGATGTGGGTAGTGTCTTTTAAGTAGTGCAGCTGATGAAATTGACAAAATAACATAAAAGGAGAAGAAGACGTCTCCATACATTCTTGGGCGTATATATAAACAATTAATAGCTGAAAAGATTTGTCAGTCTAGAAGCTGAGTTATTATAGAATAAGTAAAATAGAGATTATCTATTACTTACACTGTAACAGGTGACTTTTTACTGTTATTACATTGTAACAGGTTATTTTTCACTATAATTACTTAAAGATATAAAAGCAGGATCAGTATAAAATCACCAAAAAATCTGTGTTTAGTTGTTCACGCCCAAACGCTGGTTTCGGGATTTGACGCCGAAGGGTGCTCGGCTCGGTGCCATACCGGTTGTGACGTTCAGGCGAGCAGAGTGGCTTTGGTAGAGGGCGCGAGCGCAGAAAGTTAGTTGCTTGAAAGCAGTGCTGTCGAGAGCAAGTCGTGAAGTCGCTCGGTATAACCTCCATTTTTTAGAGTCGGTTTTGTTAGCAAATGGTGCAACGACGAGGAATTGTAGTCTAGAATTAGACGTCGGGTTGACGAATTGTTAGGAAGTTAACATTGATTGTGATCAAAGTCTGAATTTGTGGGTTGTGCGCGCTTAATTTACCGTGAATTTGGTTATTCTAATTTGATAGCGTATACAAGTGCATTTGACAATATTAATTTGCTCGTGCGGCATTTGATATAGTTCGGAGACATTTTCCGTTGTCGGGTGAACGCTGAACTTCGCGACACTAGAGAAGGTCGTGTTAGGTTCTAGAAATAATTGTTGCCACGCGAAACGGAAGTGACCTTTGATCCGAACATTCGGTATTCGTGTTGTGTGTTACGCTTTATAATAAACGGGAGTTAGTTGCGTCTGGAAGTTAGTTAATTGTACGATAAAGTTAATAGACTGTCATCGTGAAGAAGAAAGAAAGTAACTGTGGGTGACGCCGTTGGAGATTACCACAATTTGGAGCGGTGCCGAAGTCCGGACTGCTGCCGACTTAACGGTCCAGTGAGGTCTATCACAACCAACACCACAAAACCACCACTACACGCAACACATACACACCTCCGGCCTGACCGAGCCCTGAGACAGTCGTCGCCTCAGATACAGGTAAGTACTCTCTATTCGACTAGCCTTCCCCTTAAAGTGTAGAAGGATAGAACATTTCCACCAGGCTCGAACCCGTGGCCCCGTCCTTAGTTGTTCGTCGAGTCTACAGCTATGGGCCCCTGTGTGATCGATCTTTGTAGGGACAGGTAGGGGCGTGTACATTAGTAATGAAATGAAATAGTGAAACGATTAACGAAAGATAAAAACACGACTCTTCGTGACGGGTGTTGACTCATCAGTGAATATCCAACCGTACACCGTACCGGGTATGATGTACCGCAAGACCTCTCTAGTACATTAGTACATAATATCGCAATGGTGCACAGTGAGAATTTAATAAATAAATTAAATTGATACAAGTTGTTATGAGTATTCGTTATGAGTTCGATTTACAACAATTTAAACATTTTTATAAATAAATACCGTTGAAAGTACTGGAATAATTTCATTTCTTATAATAATACTAGCCTGTATTAGCCTACTGTAGCGCAAAGTAGTCTTCACATACAGGGAAGTAACGAGCATTAATCACAACACTTGCTTAGTGCATGTTCGTGATTTCAGATTATAATGTTCAGTATTCCTCACTATGCTTTCTTTCACAGAGTCAGTAATGTCTCAAGTTGTTGAGCATAAATCTCTTTGAAGAATATTTGTACATAACATACCAGCGTATTTACAATATGAATGTATGAATATAAATTTATAAAATGATTTATCGTGAAACGGCTTTTAAGTTCAGTGTTTTCCTAAATATTTTAAATTTGAAGTGTATTTTGTAAAAGAAAAGGATTTAAAAACATAGAGGCGCTCCCTTATTGAATTTGGCATTTCTTGATGTGTCTTCAACGCCGATCGACCAATCATATGCTATTATTATAGCTTCTAATGGACCGAGTGACGTCATCCAAGATGCCACCAAGGCGGCAACCAAAGTGACAGCTGTTTGAATTGATTCTTAGTTATTGGAAATTAATATTTTATTTCATTTCACTAAAGAGGAATAAAAAGTTAAAGTGATTTTTTTCGTGTGATGGAAGTCATGATAAATAGATTTATACAATGAAATAATCATTTTATTCCCTATTATTATATTCTAAAGCATGTCAAACTTAGTAACCTTCAACAACATTATCGATACTTTGGTATCGAAAGGGTAACATTCCTAAAACGATCTTATATTTTAAGCGTCACCTACTGGGTAGGTATTTTCAAAAATGCTATCTGTTTCATAACGCACGCTCTGCCTTCCTCCGGGCTCCGGGCGTGAACAACACAAATACAACATATTACACTAAGTTTAACGCACACTACAATAGCAGCTGCAGGAGCGTTCATTCATTCATAGTCTATATTTGCGTAAATTTACGACAAGTTACATAATGATTTTGTTTGTGTTACTTTGCAAGTTTTTAATATTGCATAGTCTATGTAGACATTAAGTTGGGACTTACTACATATACCTTATAGAAGTGAGCTGTTTTTTTTTATGTAAGTATCTACCTATTTACTATGTGAGTGATGATGAGATGAGTGTTACATTCATTCAACTAAAATAATTTTATACATTTTAGATTAGAAGATAAAGATTAGAGACAAAACTAATAAAATGCAATTTGCTTCGTAAATCGAAAGGACGGGCAACGCTTCTAAACTCAACAGCTCTGTGCTCAACGGGTAAGTATGCGTAGGTACTTACTTATTTACTTACTTTGATCGCGTACCTTACCACCTTGCATACTATTGTATGTACATAGGTTGACTGGTAGAAGATAGACCGAAATTTATTCCACAAAATATAAAAGTATGTAATAGCTGATGTTGATTTGACTTCAGAAACGGAGGGAGTTCTATGTTCGGCTGTATGTATATTTGTTTTTTTTATGTATGTTCAC